GGAAAAAGAAAAGAAAGAAAATGAAAATAATTTCAATTTTCCTGGTAGACATTGAATAGAGTTTCAGAATTTGTATTAATAATATTCAAGAGATTCAATCGAAACCGTAATTTATCACATTTACCGTTATTTCATCAGAATATATTGAAGGCACATTGATTGAATAAAAAATCAGCATATTGAGAGTTCAATATAAACAATTGACTCTGTAAAAAGTTAACATGATAAACTTTTATCATGATGTATATTCATTAAATTTAATGATGTCACAAGGAAAATACAAAAGTTCATGAAAATTATCATGATTATTGCTATCAAATAGTATATATAACATAACAATATTAGATAATAGTATTTACAAATACATCAAATCAATAATAACTATAAGAAAATACATAAAAAAGACAATAATAATAATCAAGGTAATACAATTCTGATAATAAAGATGAAAATTTCATGATGTTCATGGGGATAACAAGGTAAATATTAATATCCAAGTTTTGATGACAAAAAAAGACATTCAGAACTTCAAGTTACATAACTATTGCAAACACTTAAAGTGATAATTATTTCAAAGGGTATAGATGGAAAATAAAAGTTCATGATTTCTGAACTCGGAACAGGGTGAGAAAATATCTTGCTCCAAGCTCAAGAATCGTATTCAATAAACCATTTATGTATTTTATTATCTGATAATAAAGTTATGGTAGAAAAGGCATCAACTGTGATTTTTATCTGTATGATTATCATTTCAATGAAATAAATTCACAGGGCTACTTATGAGTTTACCATGAACAGGGAGACTGAAAAAAAAGAAAGAGCGAAAAATTTTCGATTCAAACAATGTCCTTCAAGCCTTTCATCTTCTTCTCATCATGAGCTTCTTTCTGCCCCATGAGATAACTACTTTACTCTTTCCATTTCTCTCTTTCTCTCTCTCTCTCTCTCTCTCTCATCCATCTCTTCCTTTTTCATCATCATGTCTTGCTCATAGATAGGGAAGAAAATCTCAAGAGTATTCTCAACCTCTCAAGGAAAGAAGAAGGAGAAAAAAGATGATCAGGAAGATAAAGATAAGAATGAAGATGATGGAGATGAAAAGCCTCAAGAAAAGGTGAGAACGAGTTCCTTATGGTTTTCATAAGAACTTTTTTTTTACACTTTCCCTCCCAGCGACTAAGAAAGGTACACAAGGCATGAATATGATAGAATGAGGAAGATGAGGATGAGGATGAGAAGAAAACAAAAGGTACTGAGAGAGAAAAAAAAATGCAATGAAAAAGCAAATAATAGAAGACGTGAATTGATGATGAGAGATGATGTTGATAAGTGAAGTACACAGAATTGTTTTTGTCAGAAATTCAATTAAATCGCTGATCAATATTATCGTTCAATCTCAAATAATACTAAAAAAAGATCCACGTATCCTTTTCAATATCGACTTTGTGACCAAATATTTTGATGACGAAAACGATAAAGATATAAGATGATGATGATGATGATGGTTTATAATTGACAATAGTTGATTATTAAAGAGAGAGAGAGAGAGAGCTGTTAACATCCTCATCATCATGATGTGTCTTAATTGATTATCTCAATTATCTTATCCTTTTTTTTTATATATTTACCTGGAAAAGACAAATAAACAAAAAGCTTGTGAAAGTTTTCACGTCAAGTTAATTGTTTAACCATCAAATCAGATTGTTGTTAAACAATAACTTGAATGTTAATTGTTATGAGGTTTTTCGGTTAGATAAATGATTAAACAATTCACATAGAATTTAACTTAATTGCTGGTTAAATATTAACTCTACCAATCTAATGAAAAGCAATATATTAATAATATAAACTTGGATAAAGCATAAAAAGTAATAGCCAAAGGTTAATGTTACTTGAATAATGAAGATGAGAATCCAAAGTAAAACCAAAATGTTTACGATATTAAATATATATAATATTTATCGTTATTATTATTATATTTAGTAGACAGCATTTAGCTTTATCTTATATGAAACATTTTCCTTAATTTTATTATTATTTGATCACATTTTAAATGGTAAATTACCTGTGATAATTTAACTGTGCCACTTTTTTTGTTTCCAGATCTCAACTTGTAATACCTTTCATTGAGTAACAATCTTGAAAGAAACAGTAATTGTTTCACTTGTAATATTTTCAATCTAAATGATGATCAACATTTGATGATTCACTAAATTATTAAACAAAAAAGTTCATTATCTGAATTATTATCATTATTGTTTTCATGATGATGATGATGATGTTAATGATGGTGATACTCTGGTATATATTACTGTTAAATTGAATTGAATGATAAATGTGATGAGGTAAAAACTTTACTCCAATGATCAAGAAGTCACAGTTGATTATGATGATGATTATTATGATAAATATGATATTCATTTATATACATCATATGAATTTGGAATATGATCATGATTAAGTAAACGAGAACACCAATCATCCATTTATTGCTTCATCTCCATCAGTTTGCTTGTATTTACTTTCACTACGATGATAATTTGAAAATTAGATTCGGTTAATAAGCTTTTTTTTTATCTTGGAAAATGAAGACTTCAGTTATGATAATGATCGAGTTAATTGTTATCATGATGGAGCCTTTAATGAATTTTTCTGAATGGACATTTTAATTGGCTATTTACTGAGCATTTTCCTTGGATTTTTATTAATTGTGATACTTAAACACAAGCATCTTCTTCCCATCAAACTATTACATCTCATCTATCCAAACACAGAGACCAAATAAAAAAAACGGTTCCTGTTGATGATGAAGATTCAAGATTCAACCCCCGATAATCATGAACCCATGTAATGAAATAAAAGTAAATTGTTTGATAAACAGTTAACCTAAAAAAAGAGCTTCAATCTTGTTTGATTAATAATTTTCATCTCAATTGGCTTTTCCATTTAATTAACCTTCATCTTCATTAGTTTGTTAAAAAAATAACGGTTTTTTTAAATCTATTGCTTACCTTAGCTAATGTTCAACCATGATGTTGATTATTATGAGGATGAGGATGAAATGAGAATGAAGATTGTGAATTAGAAAATTTTGATGATACTCAATGATGATTATGATGACAAGCTGTTACTACATTGAAGGATAAACAATTAATCTAAAATCAATTGATTCTATCAAATAATTTTGATTCCAATTAAGTCAAGAATCAAAAGCAAATTTAAATACTCTTTTCATATATTAATAAATTCATCAATAACTTAACAAGTCTCATTATCTTTTGAATTATTATTAATATCTTGACATTTGTTGAGAAATTAAATCTTATTACGATGATAATGAAAATATTATCATTTTCGAAATTGAAATGTTCAGAGAAAGAAAGAAAGAAAGAAAGAAAGAAGAAAAAAAAAGAGAGAGAGAGAGATGAAAGAATTTCGAAAGAAAAACTTTGTTCTTTTCTCTGTTTCTTCCTACATTGTTTTATTGCGAGAAAAATGTTTCCATATTATCGTTCCTATTGAAGAAAATTCATCCTGAAGATTCATGGGGATAAAAGGTTGAAATGAAGATGATGATGAAATATCTAGTCTATTGATTGGTTTTTCGCTTTGGCGATAAAAAAATGATGATAACTTTATATTTTCGTTTGATAAGCTCTTTTTTCGTTATCATGTATACAAAAAGAAAGAGTGAAAATAAGTTTGAGAAAAGAACGAAAAATCTGAAGATTAGAATAGAGAGAGAGAGAGAGAGAGAGAAGAAAAAATTATTCCGATGAACTATATGTTACTATATATACTTAGAATTGGAATAATCGTGACTCTTTCTTCAATTCGAACACGTTTCATTCCCTGAATAATATTTACACTTTGATAAGCATTTTGTGTTTCAAGAATCATACTCCACATCTTCATTATCTTCATGTTATCATCATCATGATAACTTTTATCATTACATGAAAGCTTATCTCAAGTCTTTATTTGTTGACTCAACTTATATGCTTTTTTTTATCTGTGCTCAGGTAACAACAACAACATACTATTACCATTGATTAACTTTGATTGATTCAATGATCTTAATAATACTTATTATCGTTCATGTTAACAACAAACCTCAACAATTAACTTTAATCAATTATGAATCTTCACCATGAAAAGAAATACCAAAATCTCAGTTAGAAAATGATGATAAACATTTCCTTTGATCACTAATCTCAAACTTTATTGTTTTACATACAAGTTAATTAACCATTATAATAACAATGAGATTAATAAAGTTAATTATCGTTATCATTACAATTAAATGAATACATTGTTACAAACATCTAACAATTTACTGAATGAAAATAATACCATTTGAATGATTAAAATGATTAGGAGTTACTAATCCTGAGATGATTAATCTTGTAAGAATCACTTGTAAATGATTAATGATAATAAGCTAATTAATTTTTTATATATTAAAAGTTCAGAGTATTAATAATAATCAGTAGTAAATATTAATACAAGAGATGAGAAGTTATCTAATTGTTTGGAATCAATTTGCATACTAATATTATCCAAGACTGGAAAATTATCTTATTAATATATTGAACATTGAGAATAGAAAATTATGCTAATCACATCATAAATTATGACATTGATTTATTATCCATGTTAAGTTTTTACTCAACGAAAAAAAAACACAAAACAGTTAGTTTACAATTCAATTAATCAGCTAATCAACAGTCATCTGGTTAACTCTGTAGTTAATTACAAACAATTACAAGATACTAAATCAAGAATGTATTACAATAATAGTAACGAATCAGCAATTAATTCAGATAAATTATTATGTAAAGTAGAGCAAAGAAAAGTAAAACTTTATGAATTCACTTTGTTTGGGTTAATCCATTATCTTTGTATTAATGTGATGATAATAATAGTTGATATTATTTTTCTCTGTCTCTCTAATTGCTATTAACTAATTACCTTTTTTTTTAATTTTAATTCGAAAACAGTTATGTAGCCATTATCTATCCATTAAAACCTCGAATGTCCAAGAAAAACACCGTATTCATAACTCTAGCAATTTGGATAATTGGAAGTATATTAGCCTTGCCTAATATGCTTTATTCAAACACGAAGCGGGAATTTTTCCTCAATGGAGATTATCGTGATATTTGCTTCCTCGAATGGCCTGATGGACAAGCAAATACAAGTAGATTTGATTATATGTAAATAATTTATTCTTATTATTAACAATTATATTATACACACCAAAATATGAAAACATTTTCCATGTATAATTTATGTTTCCCATTGAATAATTAATGCCAAATAACTTTTATCATATATACAGATGAGAATAGTAAAAAAAAAATGAAATAATATTATCATTATATGATTAGTATTATCATTGAATTAATAACTTTCACCATCAGATCAGGTCAGATCAACATTGCTAATTGAAAACTAAATTGAAATGTTATGATGGTTGTAATTAAGTTCATAAATATAAATATTAATACAATTTATTGGGAAATTGTTACTATTTGATATTATATTCTCATAAATATAAACATACATACACTTAGTTGATTTGATTAGGTTTCTGGAGAATTTTATTAACCTTTTTGTTTATATCGTTGATTTAGTTACAATGTGATAATTTTATTGGTAACTTATATGGTCCCAATATGTTCAATGTGCTTTACCTATTCTCGAGTTGGTATTGAACTTTGGGGTTCAAAGGGTATTGGTGAATACACAGAGAAACAAGTGGAATCAATGAAATCAAAGAGAAAGGTAAACAATTAACTATTAATTGATTTCGTTTGTTTTTTTTCCCTCAAGTTGAAAACTTTTTAGTTTGATTGATACAAATAACTCCATCTATTGGTTTGAATGGAATTTTTTCTCTATGATTTTGATTAACTGATTGAAACTTTGATTTTTTGTTCATTCATTTAGATTGTTAAGATGATGATTGTAGTATTTGTTATATTTGCTGTTTGCTGGTTACCATATCATGTCTACTTCCTGCTTACCCATCATTTTCCGGAAATGATGGAAGCTGATTATGTTCAACACATTTATCTAATCATCTACTGGTTGGCAATGTCAAATTCAATGTACAATCCAATCATTTACTGTTGGATGAATTCAAGGTAATTAATCAGAGCTATTTACAATGTGTGAATAGGATCGAGATGAAATTAATTAACTAAACCATCCAAATGAAATGATAATTGATTAATTAATACTTTCTCTCTCTCTCTCTCTCTTTATATTAATAATTTTCTAGATTTCGAGAAGGATTCAAGAAAATATTTTGCTGCCTATGTTATGATAATTCTGATTCTGATAATTATTTAGAATCAAAATTAACTCGTCGAGGTAAATCAAGCTTTTCTGAAGCTTGTATTACAGAGACAAAGATACGTTTAAATGGCAATGGTCATGGAACTGCCCTGATGATGGAAGATTTGACAATTAAACAATCTGAATATCGATTGTAAAAATGAACTGATTTATAATGATATTGAGATTAACATCTTGATACTTATACATGTATATGTAATGAAACGTAAATAGTTAATATCTATTGAGTTTAAACCATTAATAATAAGCACAAAGTCGTAAATGGTTATCAACAAGTCGCTTGTGTTGTAAATATAATATATATTTAATCAAAGTGAAAATTGAATCTTAATATTACATCAAACATTTGATTATCCTTGATTAACTGTAAAATTGTTTTATATTACCCATGTAAATAATTAATTTACTGTTATTTATTTATGAAAAAATAAAAATTTCATTTAGAACAATTTTAAAGAATTCGTGATTTCCTTTTCACCAAAGTCTTCTGATACATATGACTGATTTGCGTTATGAAACTTATCTCATTGAATTGCTTCGAGCTTACTTGAACTTGTTGATTCTCATACAGCAATTCTCAGTAACTTTCGCCGAGTTCTCAACTAATTAGCCAAGTACTCATTTGGCTTTGTCAATATGACAGAAGGCAGAGTTTTTTTCAATTAGTTCTCAGTGAGTTTCGTAGATTTTCAGATTATTTAGTCAAGGGTAAGACTAATACAGAACTCTAGCCTTTTATTACTTCTTTTAAGATGCGGTTCCCCCAGTTTGCAAGTTCAGCAACAAACGTGGAGATATCATGTGACTATATGCGCAATTCCAACGTCAAAGGGTAATTTAAGGATCGCGACTTTCAACCTGTACATATGTAAAAATAACAGAGCTTCTAGAGTAGCTTACTGGGCCAATGTGTTTGTATCAGTAGAAATAGTTAAATCGGGTGGATATGACGCCGATAACACACACAGGATAACAGTCGACGCCATTATTCTTGGTGGGGATTGAAATACGGACAACATTTATCGTGGCGATGGAATTGAAAATTTTGCAACATATTGGCTTTTTTTTGTTTTGACAATAATGTTGTTTAAACTCATTCAAATGCCACGCAACATTAATGGTTAATTCACAGAAGCCACGTTTTTACGACACAATAAGGGTGTCAAACGCTTTTAAAATTGCTTAAGAAATTACTTTGCAGTGGATCAAATGCACTTATCTGATCATTTGCCGATCGCAGGAATTATCTAGTTGCTGCGATGGCGATTCAGAGATGATCCGGTTGATGATAAAAATTATGATTCGCTCTACCAATCATTCAAACATTTATTCAAAGCGAAAGAGAGTTTGATTACCTTGCAATGCTACGCTAATCGACTTGAGAAATTCGCTCGCGAAAATCACCAACTTAGGAATATGTTCAATAAAATCTAAAAACATGATTCGTAAATAAATCGATTTCATATTGAGCACATTGAATCAACTTCCATGATTAATCATTTGATAACTTGGGGGAAAGTGCTTGGGCGATTTGAGATTAGCTAATTGGAAGTGATTAGTAAGCGATACTTATTAATAGCTAAAAAATATTAATCATACAAAGAGGTATCCACATGCTCAAATTGAAATTGAGGAATGGGTCGAACTGCACAAGGCTCAACGTCATCAGGAATTAGGATACTGGGAACATTGGTCTTTTAATGTTTTAGACTTTTTAACAATTTTATTTGACATCGTAGTTGATTATCAAGTCAAGAAAACTTTTATTTAGATGGTTAGTTTTCCAATAGATGGAGCTGTAAGCTCGTGCAATCAAAGAAAATCCGATTCATAAAGTATTGGAAGAAAGTAAAGAAACTTCTTTAACAATTAAAAAACGTGATTAACATGATAATAGTTTAATCAAGAAGTACCGATTGTGTTGATATTAGAGAAAAAAATCAATGGAACTTATCGAAAATCGACCAGTGATTTTATCCAAACAAATGTCCAAGTCTAGTTGAAATCGGAATCAGAATAGTGTCTAAAATTCTGGGATATTCTGATTTTATTTTGTTCAAGAATTACAACTGACCTGAATTCTGATGAACCATTTGTGAGGTAAAATCATTATAAGAAAGGAAATTGAGTAATAATAAAAAAGTTCAACTGTAAATGAGCATATTTGATATCATTAACTGAGATAATCATGATTACTAATACATATAATTATGATTAGATCATTAATATCATGTTCCCGGTCTGTGGAAACAGTTGAAACAATTATAGTGATAAATTTTTCTATCATGAATATTTGATCAATTTTTACAAGTAATCTTTGGTGATATTAATATAATCATTAGTAATAGTCGATTTTTAGTCCAAAGATTAAGATTAATACAATTATCATAAACATAAACATTAAAAGTATAAGCAGTTAGACACATAAAAATGACCATAAAATGAATGAAAAAGGTCTGATGGTCAGTCAAATGGACACAAGTGAAAACATCAACCCGTTTCTAGACTCATTACCCTAAATTCACATTTGTCTGACTCTAGATGATAACATTTCATCCAGGGGTTGACCTCTCACTCTAAATTATCATCCTCCCTTAATATCTCTCTCACTATCTTCCATCTTCTCTGGTTCCTCCTATTCACATATTCACAATTACGATAATGAATCTCCCTTTTTCTTTCTCTCTCCGCTCTTTCATCCCTCTCTCTCTCTCTCTGAGATATTTAAGTGACTCTTAATTGCTTTTCACTTGATAATAATGATGATAATCAACATCATTTGATCCTGAGCGATATAAACATCACCACAACAAACGGTGACTGAGCATACGATGTGTTAACCCAGAATTGAAATATTTCATTTACCTTTTTTTACAAACCATTATCATCATCATCATCATCATCATCATAACAATAATCATTATCATTATCAGTCTCATCATTATCCTAACAACAACAGTATCACCACAACCATCAAAACCCATAAAAAAATAACAGATACATCATGTTAGATATGAAATATCCTTTGTCCACCAATGTCCATTAAACAAATGGTTCTGTTTAATCAAACCTTTTTTTTTTAATTTCTCTATCCCTTACAAACTTAATCGTAACAATTAATCAAAAACAAAAACGCGAAAAGAAAAGTTTAATATCAAATCAATGATTTTCTTGTTTACTTTTGCTTGATTATTGTTCAAGCAACAAACTCAAAAACAAAATGTCAAAAACAAAATGATTACTTTTAATCATAATCATGATATCGTCAAGGAAGTTGAAAAATAATAAGTTACCAACCTTAATTGTCATCAACAATCAACAACAATCTACATAAAACCAATGGTAGTATAATAGATAATAACTATTACCGATCATTGACATTTCCAATTGGCCTCGCCCAATGTTTAACTGTCTCTTTAATTGTGTCTATGTAATAATTTTTTGTTTCTAATTTTTTTTTATTCTTTCCAAGTTTGAATTATCAATAATATCATTTGATTCGTGGTCCGTGACCTTTAATGATCGTAAACACGGAGATCTCGAACTCGCTTGGTTGAACTCATGAAATCAATACTTTCTGTCTGTCTTTTAATCATCATCGTTAATTGTTTATTATGTATAATATTATTAGCAACCAATTGTATTATCCTAACTACGGAAATAATCAAATTATTATCATTCAATATTCAGGCAAAATCAATGAGATTTAGTTTTAATTGTTATATATTATTTGGAAAGTTGATTGAATCAGTTATCATTGTAAATTAATGGTCAACTATTATTATTATTATCAATAATCAACGACAGTACAATTAATTGATCTTGTTTACAATTAATAGAGAAATGTTTTAATTGTTTACTACTACTACTAATCTTAATTATTTAGAGGGAGAAAATCATAATTACCTGATGATCATTGTAATCTAATTTCCTGTAATCACTATTTCCGATTTTATTAATATTTAATTGGTAAGAATTCAAATTTCAATAGTAATTACAATTAAGATTGGTAATTGATATTATCGCGATTGAGAGTTAATTTTACTATACAAAGTTTTTTGTATTCTTAAAGTTAATTACTAAATATTAATTGTAAAATCATTAATTCATTCAGGTGAAGATAATGATTAATATCAATTGGAATTCAATTGAAATTTAAAACTCACAATTAAACTGATAGATAAAAATTAATTCATTAATTTAATATACTAATCTAATCTATCAATTAATCTTACCAATTGTGGTACTAGAAAGTTAATTGTTTGGCAGCAATAACTAATCATCATCATCATCATTGGATTGATAATCATCTTAATCATGATTCACCCTCTTCAATGTTAATCATGATCAATCTAATTAACACGTTTGAACGTTAAATTGTTATCACCACGAGTGGAAACTTTGTAATTTTAATCAACCAAATATACAATAACAATCAAGTCAATTTCCTTGTTGATTAAGCTGATTAACCATTATAATTATAATTGACAAATTTTACCAGATCCAAGATTTGTATACATTTAATTTTTCATGTTGACCCTCAATAATAACTTGGATATTTATATAATACGTAGTAAATTAACAATTAGTTAATTGTTGCAAAGAAAAACATTAAAAAAAAACTTTGTATCCTGTTTTATATTAATAAACTCAAATCTCATGTAATTAGATTTAATTTATTTTTATTATAACTCATTTAAATGTATCATCTTAAATGATAATAGTTAATAAATTGTCGTTATAATATTAATAGAAAATAATTAATTTTAATTAGTAACGATAACGTTAACTAATCATAACAATTTAACAGTAATCACAATTAAAAGTTATGTTATAACTAAAAGCCCAAGTGAATTAACTGATTGATGTGTTGATTAATACAAATGTAATATTAATTTGTTTTTTACAATCGTTTGTACAATTTTATCTGATTGCCAATAATATAATTGCAATTAACAGGTTATTACAAGAACAAAACAAATCAACAGGTAAACAATTAGTAAAATTGGAAAAGTTTTTTAAACAATCAGTTAATTGTCAGTGTGAAGAGTTAATATTAGTTTTTAAAGTGGTTGTATTCAATTTAATTGGTTTTTGTACCTTTTTGTTTTATACAATCAATTTTGTAATTAACTATTATTAATATTTTGATTGGAGAAAAGCAAAAATACTAAAATTAACTAGATAATTGTTTCTAATAATCATGATGATCAGGGTGATAATGATGGTGATGATGGGATGAGAGTTAGAGTGAGAGTGAGAGATTAAATCTGAGCTCGAATCCAATGAACATAATGTGAAACTTTCGTATAGACTCCTGGTGACCGGCGGCGACCACAACCTCGTCCATAAGAAACGATTCCCACCAGGTAAGATTTATTTCCGACTTCCTTGATCAAAGGTCCACCTGAATCACCCTGACACGAATCTTTACCTCCCTCGACAATTCCCGCGCAAAGTTGTTTACCCTCTTTAAATTTATCGGCATAATATTCCTTACACATGGAATCGTCCATCAGGTCAACATCAGCAGCTAATAAAGTCTCCGAGGTATCGAATCCACCCTCAGAGGTTCTACCCCACCCAGCTATCGTTCCCTTGCCAGAGAAATTGGTATCTTTGTCTTTGGGTAAACAAATAGTGTTAATTGTTGCAGTCGACGGGAATAAAGGTAAATCCGATTTAGATTGTAATAGAGCAATATCATTCTCGAAAGTGTCCGATCGATAACTTCGATGAGTTACCATCTTAGTGAATTGAATCTCATTTACTGAGGGTTCGTCTAAACGATTAGAACCAACCAATCCTCGAATTGAATTCAGATCACGAAGTCTGAAAAAAGAATTGAATTAACAACAACAACAATTAATAACTTTCTCCTTAAGAAAATAATCACAAAAATCTCTTATTATTATGGTTAATTGTTGGAATAGAGATCAATAGACTTAATTGTTGTCAAGTGAATTGTGTTTGAGTATGTGTTTTGTTGTTAATCATAACTCACAATTAAAGATAAACATGTAATAACTAAATGATTAAATTTAATGAATTACTTTTCCATTATTATCTCAATGTCAATGAACTTAAATTGTGATTAGAATATGGTAATTATCAATTAGGGAAAATATTGATATTAGTAAACAATTGCCAGGGTCAATCGATTATCATGTTTGATTTAATTATAACAATCAACTGATAGAATTAGGAAAAAAAACCAAATTTCAAGATAATTTTCGTCTCTCAGAACTACAATTAACTGTCCTTATAACTGTAATGAGCACTTGATTATTGACAATTCTTGACACTTATTAATATGATTAAGAGTAATCACTTTAATTTTGTTGTTATTATTTAATTAAAGTGTCACTAACAAGAGTATATTATGATTAACTGTTAACAAGAATCTTTATCAGCTGATTATAATAGTTTTCTATTAGATATTGAAGATACAATTAGACTGAGGTAAATATTATTGACAATTAGTTGAATCTCAGGTCAAATTTCACTAATTATTGTTGATTTTTTGATTAGTCGCTGACAAAATGATTAAGTCTATGATTACATTTCAAGATTTTAATAATAAGTCAAGTAAATCAATATTTTTTTCATTATCAAAATAAACAAAATGATTAACAATCAACAATCAAAACTGTCACCAAAAAAAAAGACAATTAAAAACAAAGTCACCTCAAGAATTGCTAGTAATCACTTAATATGAGATTAAACTATTGATAGATGAAGATAGTTGATTAAAAAAGTGATGAGCCAATTAAAATTAACTACTAATCTGGTTGATTCAAATTGACTGTTAACCAAATTAAATTTTAATTAGACTCATGGATCTCTCTCTCTCTCCGGGATGTAATTAGATTTTAACACAATGATAGATGTTAATTAACTTACTTGACAACACAATGAGCTGCTGTTATGATCCATCGTTTATTAATCACTGCCCCACCACAGAAAACGCCCTGAGATCGATCCTTCAATGCTACTTGCCAAGGGAATTCACTTGATTCGCTTTCCCGACCTCCGATTATCCGATCTTTAATGTCACTCCGACGGACACCACACTCATTACCCTCCCCTAGTCCAGAGTTTCCACCATTATTATTATTATTATTGTTATGTGAAGGTTTTCTGGTTGTAATTACATTATGCGGTGGTCGATATGTTGTTAGCCTTTGACCACCACCACCGTGATTAGGTCGTCGAGTGGTTGGATAAACATGATGATCAGGCTCATAAGGTATTCCCGTTACTGATCCACCATGATAATCAGTTGTATGATATGAAGATTCCGTTGTAAAGTAAATTATATTCCCATGAGATCCATAACCACCTCCAACTTCACCATGATCACCAGGATTCACTACAGGTTGATAAGGAATCCTTGGTGTGGACGGTCTGTAGCCTCCATTATTTACATCCGGTGGTCTATAAGATGGCCTAATCTCTTCGGTTGGATGAGGTTGTGGCCTGTAAGGTGGCCGTATATTAGATTCCTCATATTCACCAGTTCGCCTATCGGGTTTAAATATTTGTCCTAATGATGTTGGTATACGAATGGTCAGACCTAATGAAAGAAAATATAAAAAGAACAATTTTAAAAACGGAAAACCTTCAAAACCAGGTCAGTTTCAATTCGAAACTCTGAAAACTTACCCGAATTACCTGGTCCAGGTTCTGGTAAACCTTCACCTATTCTTACAATTCTAAAGTATCAAAAACAAAATGGACGATTATTAAATGATCTAAATTCACTCTTTTAATTGTCCAGTTCTTACCCTTTAATGTATTTCCTAAGGATTCCTAATGATCGTTCAGATCGATGTGGATCAAGTTCGTCCTGAACTTTATCGTTAGGAAAAACAACATCACTCGTAATGACCTCTAAACACCAAGGAGAGACAAAGAAGAAACAATTAATTTAAATTATTTGATCCACAATTAAACAATAGGATTCTAATTACAAGTTGATCATATTTCACTCATAATCAATTTCCTTTTAAATATTAGTAGATTTTCATTCATCTTCAATCACGAAAAAAAAAAGAGTTGGAAATGATTTCTCCAATTAAATAATTGAGAACCAAGAGAAAATCAACAACAATCAAGTAATTTGTTAATTTGATATTGAGAAAACATCAATATAATAAATTCCTCAATTCAGTAATTACCTTTACTAATTAAAGGGATAACAATTAAGTAAATAGTGAATGAAACCAGTGAGAAAACAATGTTACCCATTGATGTTAATGGAAAGTTCAATACATTGGACAAGGGAAGAAAATTAATAAAAAATAACGAAAAATGAACAGGTAAATATTGGTTAATGGTCACTATTGAATGGTGGTCAATGGAGAGATGGACACAGAGAGAGAGAGAAAGATGGAGGAAGTTGAAGATAAACAAGTTAACCCAATAAAAGGATCAAGAGACACTTTCGGCTTATCCACTTGGATTGGTGGTTTAAAGGCAAAAAGAAAACCAGTTCACTATAATGGCGAAGATTAAATTTGATAGTAAAAGTGATCGGTGTTAATCCATAGGTGAAATTGAATTTTCCACAGATCTGTTCATCCTTCATCCTTCCGGTTTGATGATTAAAGAAGATACTACTTTGACTTTTTTCATCCGTTTTCCAAGGAAACATTTTCCTGTTCCCATGTTACAACATTTTCTGTTGGCGTATTTTTTGTGGTTCCTTTTTCTTTCCCGAATTTCCTGTTATAATTATCAATTATTCACCGTGGATATAAACAACAATTAGCACAAGAGAACAGCAAAATTTATCTATACAATTTACTAAACAATCAACTAATTAGACAGAAAAGAGGAAAACTCAGAGAAAAAGAAACTTGGAAAAAGGAACCAACTTTTTAAGAGGGAAAATTGTTGTTTCCATTTTCTGGTAACTGGTCATCAGCTGATCGAGGACAAGATTGGGTTTTCTGGTTAAAAGAACAAAATTATTTCCATTTTCTCTGTAATTTCCAAATTTTCTCACTTTTCTAATCAAATTATTGCTCTAATTAAGTTAACTCTTTCAAATTTCGTGTTTCATTTACAATCAGTTGATTGTTCATCTCATTTGGGTTGATCATCAATGTCTATTCATGTTTACACATCTAATTTGTGTCTATTTTTTTTTTCATCTTTTCCTATCAATTGTTTATTTACCTTAATTGTTTAGGTTTGTCATTAATTGTCGTTGAAACTTGTTGCCTGGTGAGAAAGTTAATTACTGTTGACAATTGATTTAAATCAAACTAATATCATTATCTTTTAATTGTCACCCAAGCTTCACAATCGCAGTCCTGGTTTGGGTTCAACTACAATGTACCTATGGGTTTATCATTTGGGTTTTTTTTCATATCAAAACTTAAATTGTATTAAACTAATTTACTTGATTCAGTTCTCACTATGATGATGATGATCATAATTAAATGAGCTATTGATTGATTATCTTTGGTAAATATTTACGATGAAAATTGATAAATATTTTCAGTAGACAGAATCACTTGATAGTCACTTTTTGATTGTATGAGCTGATTAGTTAATTGTTTAAATATGTATTATCTACATTGACTTAATCACAATTTAGCTCTGGTGATATGATTAACAAACCAATTGAATATTTATCTGGAAAACTTATCAACAAGTTCCTATTACATTTGGATAATTATTATCAATCTAACGAGAAATCAACAAATGAGGAAATGAGTCAAACTCAACAATCAACTGTTAGCATCTTAATTGTGATCACAATTAACAAACTCTTCATATGTCTTCAAATGAAATGACAGTCAGTTTAATTACAAGTGAATATTTAGACTACAGTTAATTGCGAGAAATTAAATTTACTTTTGATTAAATAACTGATTTGATTCGGATATTAATCAGTCTAAAAAAAATACTGTTAACCCAAAAGCATTAACATTGATCAACGAAAATTGCTCAATTAAGATTAGTTAATCTATTCAGATTCTTATCCTAATGATGATAATGATGATGATGATGATGATGATCAATCTGACAGAGTGAAAGTCATCCTGATTATCATTAACAATCAAGAAACTTTTAAATTGTTCAATCATGAAAATTGATTGACTGAAATCCGATTGCTCATTAACCTTTTATTTATTATATTAAAAAAAAACTTTGACATGAAACATGATTAAAGTTAATTTAGTAATGAATTGAAAATAATTAGCTAAATCATAATAATTAGAAAGGTAAATCAAATAGATTGAATCAATTATGTCCATTAAACAAACCAAATTAAACCAAGAAATCAAGAAAAAAAAATTGATACAACAACAATTTAAAAATTGATTCAGATGAAAATGTAAATGCAAATGCAAAGTTGATTAAATTGTAACCAATTAAGATTTAACAGAATCAAGTTGATTAAATTGCTGATAATTAAAAAATTTCCGTTGACAAGTTCGTAACAATTAAGGAATAGCGTGCTAATAGGTAATCGATATTAAACTAAATCAAAAAATAAACAAGAACGCGAATTGTGAAAACTAATCATGATTTATCTGATTAACTAATCAACTAATTGTGATGATTGTAAAAATCACAGTTAAATGATAATGATTAACATGGTGAAAGTTATGATTCAACTACTTGAATAGTTATTTACCTTTAAAAACAATTTAAATTCAATCAGAAAATTGATCAGCAACAATTAAGATGATCATCTTTATTATACTACAATTAACATGATAAAAACAATAACAACAATTAATTTTTAACAACAATAAACACTTAACATTAATCAACTACACATATGAGGCCAACTTGTTGTTATTGATTAAGTTAATCATAAGATGACTGTTAATTATTATGATGATGATTAAATCTTAAATTACTGATTAGTTTTTATATTTTTATTGTATGAACATTGAAATCAAACAATCAATATCACAATCACAATTATATATTTAACTCATTTATGATTAACTTTTTGATTAGTATACAAACAAAAACAACAAATTAAGTAGTCACTTTAATTAGTGATTAAGTTACCTGTTTATTAATCATCATTGTTACATTGATGATGATCAAGTTTTAATCGTTATCGCAATGATAATGGTTAAAGATGATGATGATCATGATGATGATGATGTTAATCATGTTGTTCAATCCCTTAACCTTGAGTAATTCAGTTACCATGAATAATTAGAATCAAGGTAAGGGAAATAATTAACGAACAAGAAAAAAAAACTTTCACTAATTGTTTACAATCGTAATGAAACATGAATGAAATGTATCAACATCGATCAGCTGATTGGTAATGAATTAACAAACTTTAATCAATCACTGAAATCCAACAATTAACAATATGAATAATAAAGTTAATTAGGTGAAAACTTTTGATTGTGATGTTTTTTTTGTCTATTTCTTGAATAGAATCAGTTAATTGTTGTAAACTAGTTTTTCTTATGTTCTAATTATTTAGTTGATTGATTACCATTTATAATCTGATAAGATTTTGCTAAATTAACTGATGGATGAAATGTTTTTTTCACCAATGTGACATATCAAGTGTTGCCATTAATGTTAATTGTTTGACTTAATTGTTTGTTGAAACGATTGAAATTAAATCATCACCAGGTAGCAGCACAGAAATCATTAAATTCAATACAATTTGAAAAACTTTGATTTTCATGAGAAATTGTTTTTCTATGTTAATTGTGATTGGAAGAGTAAAAAGTTTTCTTATCATGATCATTATGATTAAAAGTAATTGATAATTTAAAGGGATGATCATAATCATAAGATGAGGAAGAGGCTATTTAAGTGCCTCTCTCTCTCTCTCTCTCTCTATCACTCTCTCGATGCCTCGAATGAGCCTTGAAAGAAAATTGAAAGAAAAGAGCAAAAAAATGAAGTTACTTTTACTTGAGAGTATGAAAAAAATCAGTGACTAATCTTTGATGCATCACGAGCTAACGCGTGCAAATAGTCATGCCTTTAATTTGAAGATGATGAGGATAAAGTAGAGAGGATGAGTTTCTCTCTCTCTCTCTCTGATGTTTATGTCAATTTAATCTGGAAGAGAAAGAGAACTTTTTTTCTTCTTCTTTTTTTCACCAATGATGACAGACAGATGATCATGATGAAAAAGAAGAAGACAGATGAGGAGAGAGAGAGAGAGAGAAATGGTCTCATCTTCATGATGTATTGGTTAATTTTTTTCATCATCCAATGAGAGAGGGGAAATGGATGTAGATGAAGATGAGATATGTGTTAACACACCCTGGGTGAAATTGAGAGAGGGGAAAGAAAGAGATAAGTTTAATTTGATGATGTCCAATATGATGAAGAAAGTGAAAAGCGGAAGTATAGGATGTACCCACGCCCTTCCGGAAGTTTGTTTTATATGGTAGTTGAAGATACTTCATCTTGCTCATCATCTTGATATCAAATGAAGCAAGAGAGAAAAGAGGGGGAAGATACACAGGAAGAGAAAGAGAGAAGATGATAATTCACTTATCATCCATCTGAGCAAAGTGTCCACTAAAAATAAACAGACAGAGGACATAAGAAGTTGATAAGTAATAAAAAAAAGAAGACAAATTAAAGAGACAAAATCGGGGTCAAAATGTTTCCATGGTTCCTGAGAAAGATGAAGTTACCATGGTGATGGTGGGATAAATTGCCTAACAAAACACACAGACAGTTAGATGATGATTATGAGGAGAGGGAGAGAGTAGAGACGACCCACCACACCCACAATTCAGCCAATAATGAAAATCAACCAGAAAAAAACACCTTAAGTTATTAATACTTAGGTTGTTGCAAGTAAATAAACAACATTGGGATGAATATGATAAGCTAATGATGAAGATAGAGAGCAACAGCTCAAGAGAGAGAGAGAGAGAGAGAGAGATTTGCTCATCTATTTTTCATCTTCATCATGATCATCCATCTCATCTTTATGTCTGTTGAATGTTTCACACCCAAAAAATCAATGAATCCCAGACACTCTTAGTAATAAGTGAGGTATTCATGGTAAAGTTTCAGTTTCATGAAAAATTAGTGAGTCTCAATGAATCACATGGTTTGGTTATTTTTGCCTTTTCTCTGCAAATTGTTGAGAAAAATATATTTAAACAATTTAATTGCAACTTAATCAACATGAGAGGCACTTGAACAATCACAATCTAATGACCAAGAATAAGAAAATTCTAAAACTGTCATGATGGACACGAGATTCTCATGTCATGTACTTTATGATTTTTCAATTATCAACAAACAATATAATGATTAAGGAAAATGAATCTCCATGATATTAATATTTGAACATTTCTGATAATCCAAAAGTACCGATTTTCATTTGAAACGTGCTACTGTCTTAATCAAGTTGCATTAAAAGTTAATCTGTTGACCTAAAAAAACAAAGTACAAGGGTCACAACATAACAAACTGGACATGACGATGGACACAAAGTTTATTGGCATCTCACATTCTTCAGCACAAACAAGACAAATTACCTGAGCAAAAAAAAGGTAGAAATAATTTATTGGCAATTTACCCTCAGGCGAAATCATCTTCCAGGTAAACATGTGACTCTTTCTCTTTCTATCCCTCTCACATTTATCTTCCATCATCATCATCATCACATCATTTTCTTTGCGAAAAGAAAATTCTAAGAGGTTGACCTTCTAGTAGCAAGAATTTTCAATTACATTCCAATCACAATTTACAGAGAAAAATTTTCTTTTTTAGAGTTAATAATTCTGAACAGTTACCTTGTTAAATTAATTCTTTTACCATGAAAAATAAATTCTTACAAATTCTGAGACGATAAATTATCAAATTAATTGTTTCCAAACTCGATTCGTATCTTGAATAGTTGTTACTAGAGAACAGCAAAGTTTTTAATGATTTTCTCTATCTTCTTTATTGGTACAACTCAGTTACTCCTCTAATCTGTAACAATTTACTAATTGTTGAATGATTTTCTTATATCATTCAATGTTGATAATATTTCAACAGCTGATTTAATACAAATAAATGAATGCTGATTGTGATAAAATTGCAAAATTAAAACGTGATTATCAAGTTTTACCTTTGCAAGTGTCTCAATTGTAAACTGTTAATTTGATTGTAATTTTATTGATTAGTTATTAATGATTTAGTCTCTCTCTCTCTCTCTCTCTCTCTCTCTCTCTCTCTCTGTTTATTTTTTAATTTATCTGAATTAATTGATTGTCCATCTACAAGCCCTCCTTTTATTCAGGTTAATCATCAAGATCATTAAAACTTCAATTGTTTATCAACAATCAACAAGTTGGCTCAGGTAACCAGGTTACAATTTTATTTCTCATGAAAAAAATGAAAATTATATTACTATTATTAAGTTAATCATTAACTTATCATCACCTCACGTTATAACAATTAAATTTAATAGCGACTGGTAATGATATTAACTATGAAAATTGGTCAAATGATGGTCATCATCATCATCATCTTTGGATGTGAATGAATTGATTGATTGGAGGAGGAAGAGGACAAGTAAGAGATAATTCAATGAAACTGAATAAATGATGACAATATTATCCAATTGTGGATTGAATTATTAACTTCCGTTTTTTCCGGTTTCTGTTTTCACCATGAACATGAATCTAAAATGTTGATGATTTACTGTTGAAAAATGAATGAATCTATTTACAGGTAACTAGTTAACAGGTAACTTTCACGGTTCCTTAAATCAAATCGTTTGCTGATGATATTCAACTTTCATTCTTGTTGTTAACTCTTTTCACTATTTAACCATTTTCTATTTCCTCAGCTTCCTGAAGATGATCATGTTCATCATGTAAGCATTTTGTTCAATCATCGAACCATATTCACATCTAACTGAATCTAACTTTATCCTCCGTTAACCTGCTCTTCCTCCTTAAATCCCTTCTTGCTGATAGTTGGACGCACTTTGAGGCCACTTTTCCGATCAAATGACTTCTCATTTATCATCAGAACTTGCCACACAGAAAGTAACCAATATCTTCCGAACAGCAAATCAAACTAATTAGATTAGTAATTAGTCACAACTGTTATTATCATATTCTCATCCGTTGAT